AGGTTTATGTTCATCTATACGTTTGCAGATCAATTTGGAAGAGCAGAAATGATGGGACTGATGATAAATGCGAACGAACAGGAAAAGTCTGTTGCAACAAGTTGGTTGAAATTGAACACTTTGACCGAAATTACGCCAACTAATTTGGTGTTAAAAATTATGGTTTAATAGAATTCTTTCAAAGTCATATTTCTCATGTAGTAACACAATTATGAGCGTCGTTACGAGCGGTCGGGAGACTGAAATCAATACCTCATATAATTTTCAAAAGTCTATAGTTAAATACTGCAAAATGCAACTATTTAAGTTCGTATGAATATAAAAAAAATATACTTCTTGATAGCATACTTATAATTATTTTTTTTTAAAGAGCTGACACGATCAAAAGAAAATTTTTTTATGCCCGTTAAAGGAGGGAATTAATGTATGAAAATAAACTGAAAGACGTTGAAGTGGATTTTTAACAAACATATAGATCACAAGCGTATAGAGTCGATCTGAATAAGTTATATAATTTTTCGTGAACAAGGTAGAAAATACTTTTTCTACTTCATATTGATATCTAATATATTACATACTGATATATATATATATATATATATATATATATATATATCTAATAGTCAGACTTTTAGAGAAAAATATACGAAGAAGCATAGTAAAAAACAAACATATCGAATAAAAACTAAAACTCCTCTAGGAATTGAGGTTAATCAAACATAATGGAGAAAATATATGCATTAGCAAAAATAGATTGAAAAATTGTTAGAATAATGTATCGCTACATCTGTATACCAAACAAGAATTTTATAAAAAATAGCTAATTTTTCATACACTTCTTTTCCTTACAAAATTGCCTATCTCTTGGTCTCGATCGAGTCACCCGTTCAACAGGGTTGTTAGACATCCAAATATGGCCTGCACACAAATGTCGATATGTCAGGAAACTTTAGTCCGAAAGAGCAATTATGAAATAAACGTACTCCAATAACAATGGCTCTAGAACGCCGCGGTGAAAAAATACAAGTTACTGCCGCATGATGTCACCCGAATCAATTATCGTTTTGATTCTTCTAAAAATATACGTGATTTATAAATTCTTGTTATAACAAAGCCAATATAAATTTATGATTAACACCGTTGGTATCACACAATATAATTGAAATTAGATAAATTAAATGCGATTTTAAAATATTGTTTCAAAATGAAGAATAGGCAGAAACGTCATAACTGGAAAGATGAACATCAGGTATTATTATAAATGAATGCTGTTTTTCACAATATTATATGTTATTCAGAGCTATTATCTATTGTTACAATTTAAATAATTTTTTGAAAGAGTAACAGAGATAGATATTAATATTTTTCTTTCGGTATCTTACAAAAGTGAAGCGAACGAGGAGGATATGGAAATGTATTTTCTTGAAACTATTCAAAAATGAAATGCCCTGAATCTAATCAATCTATAGATATTATAATTCTTAAATATGACTGAGAGAAATCGTTACACTTTCTCAATTGCTATCATTCCTGAAATATGTAAAGAAGCAAGATGTTATTTCTGCGATCTATTCTAGAGCATGAGACAAGTAAAATACATGTATTTAAATGATATTTACATAACTACTTTATGGCATAGATAAATGATAATAGGTTTAAAAAATAATTTTTTAAATATATTTTCCTCAGTTGCTATATTTATTCTCAATGAAATATATGTAAAAGTTATAATATGCGTCCATGGCTTTTGTCAACTAATTCAAATTTCTGTATCGATATTAATTCCGAAATATTAAAATACCTTACGGAATAGCCATTTGCCGTCTTACCTGAGACTTAACAGTTAACAATTTTGCTATAAAAAGTTTTCCCTTCATTATTTTCGAAATTAAATGTAAGATGGTAAACTTTCTGTTAAGATATTGTAAGATAGTCAAGATGTGATTGCCGATTTTAAAAGATTAAATTCTAAGGTTCTAATACGATATAAATTTCATTACTTCTCAAGTTCCTGTAATCTTATTTTAACAGTTTAAAAGATACTTTTGAGAAAATTACAAAATTTTTCTTTTCAACTCACAAATTTCATTTTATCTGCCTACGAACATTTGTCTATTTAAAATGTAGAGTGAAAAATATATGCATTTTTTTCTAAATACATAATAATTTTTCCGATCTTACTATACTTCTCAGTCCTGATCGCGCTTCACATAGACGCTGTAACTTTAATAAAATATGGTGACGATAAAAAAAGGTTCGAATCCTAATCTGCACTTCGATCGTCAAAATTATGAAAGATCTAAAAATCGACGTTAATGCGAATATTTAGAGCACTCGAACAAAAAAGAATCTATTTCGTCACTTCGTTATAAAACTCAAACTATTTTCTCGTTCTTCTATTACTAATTACTCTTCCCGCCCTTCCCCCCAGTCCCTACTATCTCACCTTGAACTTACGTTTATAACTCGGCTACTTTTCATTATTTCGAAATTTATGTGTAATGCATAAGAAAATCACAATGTACAATTTTCTATTAACATATCGTATAACCTATTGTATAGAATAAATCTGCATTAATCTTTTGAATATGTTAATCTTTTGAATTGTTAATAGTTAAGACTATCGTCTTGAAAAATTTTTTAATAATAAAAATATACGCGCGTAATACATTAATTATATCACGAATATTTTCTTCCTCTTACAATGTTTCTTGCCATCATTGATTTATCGACGTCGAATTTAATCGCGTAGCATGAAATTATTTAAATAATAAACAGATTCGATAAATTTCAAATTGACATAATTAAACAGTCAGACATTTTTAATGATATATTCCAAAGAAAAAAAGAAAAAAAAAGATAACGAAAAAGTGACAGATGAGAACTTACACAATTTATTTAATTCGATACGCAAATTTTGTCGAATAATATCGTTTAGGTTTTGCATACATAGACATTTCTCAATTTTTGATTATTCGTTCGACGTTCAGTGTAAAACATTTTTTCAAAAGAATGATTTTTGGCTTTTTCTTTGGTATAACTGACGCTTTTTTATTCACATTTCAAAGAAGAATCTATAATTTACATTTGTATTATATTTAATGATACTTTTAACATTAAATAATAAAATGAAATTCAAGATACGCTTGCTTTCGTCATAGAATAAATTTTTTTTAATTGATATCAAGTTTTAATCGCAAAGATAATCGTAAATAATAATATTACTATTTTTAAAAATATTATTAGAACGCAATAATAATAAACCTTATTATTATTATTATAAGACACTATTTTCGTTATATTTATTAATTATAGTAAGGATTATTATTATTATTATTATTAGTAGTAGTAATTATTTGACGAGAGACAATTCGATCTATTATTTTTTAAGGGAATAAATCCATTCGTTTAGATCTTTGTTGGATTCTATACGAATATAAAACTATGAATAGGATGAACTTACATTATTCTAGTATATATGTCATTAACAATCAGTCTACCGTCTTCAAACATTACTTAAAAAAAAAAAAAAGGAAAAAAAAAAGAAAAAAACAAACAACGCAAACGATATGAATTAATTGTTTTTTGCTAAATTTTACAATTTGTCATTTTATCCTTAATTTATTATCGTTCAATTATCGAGAAGTCTGAATTATTGAAATATAATTTCTCTCGCAACTAGTATTGTCTTCTCGTAACTTGATATATTTGATATCAAACGTAATAGTAAAGATAATCGCAATAATAATATTTTTATTTTGAAAAATATTATCAATATGAAATGTTAATAAGCCTTATTATTATAGTAAGCCATTTATATTTATCATTTATTAATTATAATAAGATATTATTATTATTATTTCAAGAATTATTTGACGAGAAATAATTCGTTTTAATTGGACAATCGAACTGTTTTATCTTTTGCTTTGTAAAATTTTGTATTTGTTGAAACTGACGAATTTAATTACGTTTTATTTACCAAATTTTTCCAATAATTATTTATTTATTCTCTATTCAATACATTGTAATTTAGCTTTTACTAAACTATAAGATTAAAAATATTTGGCTTCTTTCTCTTCTACCACTTATGCTTAATTGCGATCAATATATCGAATGATAATGATGCAATGATCCATAGATTAAAATTTAAAATTCCATTTCAATGAGTTAGGTTAGATTTTTGAGTTTTTATCGTGCTCGCCATCATCATAAAAAATGCAAAATTAAACGATTTATCAGTAAAAATGATAAAGAATTTTAAACTACTTCGACAGTGATGTCCGTCATGATTTCGTATGTATGTATTGACTCAACGCTATTTTATTAATAATTTTATCCTAGTTCTCACTGTTTTACAATAAATATCGAAAAATAAATCTTATAATTGTAATAAATTGTCTTCCAATAATATGAGTTAATAAATTTTTAGGATTAAAAATTGTGAGAATGTTTATTCGCTCGCAATAAGAAAACAAAAATAAAAATATATTTTCTTTGGAAGTAATATATAGTTTAATAAATGAAAACAAAAATTAAATTGCAATATCCGTCCGATATCTCGCGAATAAAAATCAAAATTGTGTCTTCATCTCTTCCTCTGTTTCACTCAACTTGATCTAGATTTATAAAATAATATTAATCATTTATTCTTACTACAGCAATAGCATAAATTATGATTATCCTTCTCTATTAATATTCTTTGATAACCTTGCTCCGTTTTATCCTTTATAAAAAAAAAGTAGTTAGATGATAATAAAAATGCGATACAGTGAACGTGAAAAGTATTCGTACAACAGTGAATTTGAAGAAAAATTTCGTAGAACTTTGTTTATTACAAAAAAAATGTTAACAAAATATATATATATATATATATATATATATATATATATATATATATATATATATATATATATATTAGGTGAACCAGAAAGTAATGTTGTTTCTGCGCATATCGATATTTGATTGTCATTTGTCAGCTCATTGTGTACTTCGAAGTCGTGTCAAAGACATTCTAAGGTTATTGTGACTTGTTCACTTCTAATAAATAATTAAATATTAGACTTTTTTTTTGCAATTTGGGTTGAAATAGCCAGCCAAATACCAGAAGAGTATATCCGGCATTGTATGCTTTTTGAGTTTCGCAAGAGTAGTAACGCAACAGTTGCGACCAAAAACATTTACGATGTTTCTCCAAGTGCATTAGACGTTCATAAATGCCAAAGATGGTTCTCTAAGTTCAGATCCGATAATTTTGATCTCTCTGACTTCTATCGATCAGGAAGACCAACAACATTAGACAACGACATGCTAAGGGCAGAAGTGGAAGCAAATCCATGTCAGACAATCGAGAAACTCTTAAACACCCTTAATCAACCTTGGTCGACCATCTAAGAACATTTGCAGGAAATTGGAAAAATAAGCAGAGCAGGTGTTTGGGTCCCCCATAATCTGTCCGAAAAGAACAAAGCCAACCGATTCATCACATGCAACGTATAGCTTCAACGGCACCATACAGAACCGTTTTTTGATCGCTTGATCACTGGAGACGAAAAATGGGTCCTATATGATAATTCAAAACACAAAAGGCAGTGGCTCTCTCCAAATGAATCACCACGAAGTACTGCGAAGCCGGGTTTACATCCCAAAAAGGCGCTTCTGTGTGTTTGGTGAAGTATACGCGGAATTGTTCATTTTGAAGTGCCGAAATCTGGACAAACTGTTAATGCAGATCTTTATTGTGAACAATTGGATCGAGTGAACTAATCTTTAATCGAAAAGTATCCGGCGATTGTCAACAGAAAAAGCGTTATTCTGCAACACGATAATGCAAGACCGCATTGTGCAAGACGAACCTTGGAAAAAATTAATGAATTGGGGTAGGAGGTACTGCCTCACCCATCATACTCGCCCGATATCGCATCCTCGGATTTCCATTTATTTCGATCGCTACAACATTTTCTTAGTGGCAAAAAATTTGAAAATTTGGATGAAATCTCGAGATATTTTATTCAAAAACTAATTGATTTTTATCGGTCCGGCATTGAAAATTTGTATACTAGATGACAAAAGGTTGTTGATAACGAAAGTGATTACATTATTGATTAAAAATAAAAACTTGTTAAAAATCTATTCGTTTGAATTTAATTTAAGAAATCGACATTACTTTCCGGTCTACCTAATATATATATAATTCTGTGAATAATTATAATAATTCCTGAAATATTATAATAATTCCTGAAATATTATAATAATTCCTGAAATATTATAATAATACCTTTTTCATTTAATGACGTGTCATCTGTTCTTCATTTTGATACAATATTTCACAATTGCATTTAATGGGTCTAATTTGAATTAAGCCATTTTTTGAATTAAGCCATAATTTGTCGATAACCAACGACTTATTGATTAATTGATATTTATAGTTTACATACATCAACAGATATCGAATTGTAGAGATTAAAAAGACATTATCTGAAAAAAAAAAATCACCTGATATCATATTTACTATATCGTATTTACTATAATCTTAAAAACAAATACAATATTTGAATTGTATCTTTTCAATTTTATTCTCTTTATTGTAATTAAAAATATAACAAGAAAATTTTATATTTAATCATACATTATACATATAATTCCGTTCAAAACTTTTTATTTTGATTACAATAACAATTGATTTAGGCGACAAACTGTATGACGATAATATGTACTTTTATCATAACATCGCTCTACACAGTATTGTAATTGTTTCATGGAATATTAATTTAATATTAAATTTAATTCATTTCATAATTATTTTTTTTTTCGAAATATTTATTAATTTATGAACATTTGTATCTCAATCATAATTATATATCGAATCAACAATTTCTACCTTACCGACGCATGATATAAATGATTCAACGATATTACCGGGAGCGTGGGTGGATGAAAAATAATAATTGATTTTGTAGAGATTTGAAAAATGTATGTAAAATTAAATCTTTTACATAAAATACTTGTAATATTATATACATATTTATTAAGTATATAAATACTTATTAAGGATATACAATAAAAAATCTTTTCGAACATTTCAATGATTTCTTATTTCTTATTAATAAGTTATTTTTAAATCATTAAACTATAAGATGTATTTTATTTTTAACATTGCATTTATAATGCATTAATTTTTTTTCTACAATTTTTTTTTTTTTTTATCTATTCATAAATCAAACTTAGCTTTGTAGAAATAATATGAAAAAAAAGTAAATTAAAAAAAAAATGTATAAAAGAAGATAGAAGTAAAATATTTTGTACAATTTATCTGTAGTTATTTATATTATTAGGTTGGAAACTATGAAACGGGCATTGAATGAAAATAAATAACTAAACAAAAACGCCCGTTTCATAGTTTCCAACTTAATATATAAGTATTAGATTGGAAACTATGAAACGGGCATTGAATGAAAATAAATAACTAAACAAAAACGCCCCTTTCATAGTTTCCAACCTAATATTTTAGATATATCTCGTATTTGATTAAAAATATTTAAAATATTGGAACGATCTACATTATTTTTATTCATATCATTTATTTTATATAAATATTTTTCTTTTTCACACTCATGGAATAAAAATATTAATCTTTTTAAAATATTTAAGGTCTAAGATTTCTTCGTCAGTTTCTTTACCATTTATTAATGGATTATTACATTAAGCATTTTTTTTTCAAATCTTTAAATGATTTAATATTGTGTTATAGATAAGATTTGATCAAATACTTGAGATTAACTCAATGATATAAAGTAATACATAAAATATTTACCATGTTTTTCATGTTCAATCTAAAAAATTCTTTTTCTTTTATTCTTTTTATACATTCAATGCAAAACTGAATCAGTGAATGAAATTTTCTTTTACTATTTTAGCTTTTTTTAAAATTTTAACTTTTTATATATTCATTAATTTATACTTGTATAATGTAAAACATTTGTATTTGCATTCAAACACATTTAAAATCATTTAGAGGTGATAATTTACTTTTATGATTTATTGAATCTTTTGATTCTCTTTTGTTTATGAACTTTTTGAATTCTAACATAATCTGTTTAACTTCATATGCCTTGATGTTTATCTAAGATTATTAATTAATTTGATTCTTTTTCGATGTTTTCTTAAACTATTAAATTTATGAGTTAATAATGATTCTATCATTTATAGAATTTTCAGTCATTTTTAATGTAAAAGTTTTGGATGAATAATTTCATTATACAATTATTAAGGATAAAAGAATCACATTGCCAAAATCATATTATATATATTACATCAATACTGATCACATCAGATGACAAAAATAACTTGTTTTTGATAATTCTTTGATAAAAAATCATCGAAATTATATAAATGCTGATGAAGTAATTATTGTTCAGCTTTATCATAATAATTTCTATTATGTTTAAATAGTGATATGCAAATGTATCCAATCTAAATATTTCGCTATGTCAACATAGACAACATATTGTGTAAAATCACAGGACATTGTAATTTCATCTTGAATGGATCGTGAAACAATTCCACGTAATAAATAAGATCCATCATTCTTACGTATTAACAATCCACTTCCACTATCACCATTACACGGTCCATTATTGTTTTTAGAATCAGCACAAAAAGTACGATTTGACGTGAGAGTTACAAAAACTTCATTGCTCCGAAGACAATCTTCTTGAGACATTATTGTCATTCTGATCAATCGAGATTTATCCAAATAAGGATTAATTAAATCCTTGTGATCCCAAACAACAACATATCCTGTGGAACCGATTACGTCTTCTAAATCATTCGATCCAGACCAAAGGCAAATTGGTTTAATAAATGGAGAAAAAATGACTGGATTTTTTAATATGATAATGGCGAGATCTCCATCAGCCGTTGGATTTTTTAAATCATCCTTAAAGTCTGGATGTAATCTATATTCTTCAACTTTTCGATTGGTCGGCTCTGTTTCATTCCAATTTCTTATATGATAATGTCCCAAAGAAACGACCATAGTATTTATTGGTACGATCACATTGTACATTTTTATACAGTGTGCTACTGTAATGACATGCTTGTTTGTAATCAAACTACCGACACATTGCAAATCTAATTTATTTCTCATAACAAAAACAGCAGCCATCCAAGGCCATTGATCCATAGATGTCTTCCTAGATGTAACAAGAGTATTATTACTAATGCGTTGACAACATTTATTAATTGATCCATCAGAAATGTTATAGGTATTGTCATCATTGGAGGGAAATTGTAAGTCTAATGTTGGCTGTTCTTTTTCCAATGATAAAATCAGTGGAAATCGACATGGATTGGATAATAAAAAATCATTAAAACTCGACACCACATTATCGTTGTTTCCTTGATTTTTAGATATCAATAATATTCTAGGTGGTAACAATATATGTTCCAAAAAAATTGACGTCACAATAATTCCTAATGACGGTGGAGCGCTACAATATTCCTGATCGTTCAACCATATACCTGTTAATATCGGTATTGGTCGGTATATAGGAAAATAAACTAAATAATACAACGATCTGTTTTCTTGAATCGCTTTCACCGATTCTTCTAACGATTGCGCCAATTTCAATCGACCATTATATTTAGTGGGTAACAATGCTGACACGGTTAATTTTATTTTCAAATGTAACGGAACATTTTTCGGCGGAGACGGTATTTTGATCTGTCCCATTGTCTCGATAACATTGCTCCGAATATAACGAAAAAATTTAGGGCATGGCGAATTAACGATCACCGGTTCATTCATTACATCCACCAACTGAATCAGGAATACACATTTTCCAATGTCCAGAATCATTTTAAGAATCTGTTCAAATAACAAAATTACAATTATGAATTATGTGAATGATGACGATTAACGGATCTTTTTTTTTTATTTTTTTTTTTTTTTAAGACAGTTAAAGAGATATGCACAGTACGGGAACATTCTTAATGATGATTCTAATTTTTTTTTATTTTTATTAATGTATATATATATATATATATCCCAGATAAAATGTAACAACTCGCATTTGTCAATTTTTAATTGACATCTGATCGATTATTAAAGTAACATCGAATTATTAATTGAATTCCTTGTGTTCTTTAATCAGATCTTTAAAAAAAAAAAAAAAATATATATATATATAAAAGAAAATAAAAAATTCCGTAGAATCGTTAAGCGTAAGATTTTAAGTGATACTCACTATAGAAGATAAAGCGTACTTATCGTTTTAAATGTTTAGATATTAGACAGAAATAGAATTCTCGATGTTAGTCCGATTTGATTCTTACGTTCGACGATGCAAAAATTGATGAAAAATCCATAGAAGATTCGGATGGTGGAACAGACAAGAACGATACTCGTTGAAAAATATTGATCACACAATGAGTTATATTTTGAAACGTTTAAACTTTCGTAGAAATCGAACTTGAAAATAAAAAAGTTTATTATTTTAATCGATACTTAATAAATTGTTTACTTACTAAGCAGTAAATTGTTTTTTGTTTTGACAGACACGAAATTGATAAATGTTTAAAACATTTGTAACTTTTCGATATTGTAATCATTTTTATACTACGTTGTAAACTAATAATTAGCTTGGTCCTCGTTTTAATATTTTATTTATTTATCTCTTTTAATCTCTATTCTTTTTTTGCTTCCTTTATAGAATCCTTATTAGTATCTAATAGTAATTATAATAATAGTTCTTAATTAATAGTATAAAATTTTTTATATAATAAATAGTAAATAATATTATTTATAAATTATAAATAATAGTATAAGATTTTTTTTCTAACGGGGTTTCTCAATTTCTTTTTTCTCTTTTTTTTTCTTTTTTTTTTTTTTTTTTTTTAACTTTTTTAAACCATCACTCTATTAGAGAAGAAAACTTTAAGCTTTTCTAATGTTACTTTTATAATTTTGCATTTCTTATGATTAGATATTGTGGATTAGCGTCATCAAAAATCGATGCAACTTTTTAATTATTTCTAAGTTCCCCTTGAAATATATAACAGAAATATTTTTATTATTTATGATAATACAGAAAATATCTTTTTGCGTAATTCAAATCGTTTCAAAAGACGAAATCGAATTGAAGAAAATTTCTTTTTATAAATGTTAATTTTTGATTGAAACTTTTTTCAAGTCAGGCTCTCATTTCTTTCCATCTTTTTTCATTTATGTCTTTCATTTACTTTTTTCCTTCTTTTTTCATTCACGTTTTTAATTAATTTCTTTCGTTCTTTTCAACCGTATTTTTGATTTTTTTTTTCGATCATTTCATTCATGTTTCTTATTCATTTTAACTATTCATGTTTGTAATTAATTTAGGAAAAAAAATTTTTTTTTCATTCTTTTTATTCTTTCTTCCTTTTTCATTTTTCTCAATCATGTTTTCATATTCACTTTTTATCTTTTCATTTATCTTATTCATTTTGTATTCTTTGTAAATAAATTATCAATTCAAACTCTGTCATTATTTGAATGATAAGCATTTTAATACTTTAAAAGAATGAGAATTCAAAACATTTAATTGCTTGATATTCTCTTATCAAGTTACTTTATCAAGTTCGATCAGTTGTCGTCTACTGACATAACAGAACTCATGATTTGTTTGTCATAACAAATTCTTTATAATTCCGCAACCTGGATAAAGTCAATAATCGCTACGTAACAACACCGATAAAGCAACGATTGAAAAACACAAATAACGAACGCTTACAAAAGGACAAAGTAATAAAGATATTGTTACTTGAATAACGAAATCATATTGTTAATTATTACGCATATTATTGTTAATTATTATCAGTTAATATTTTTTCTATCTACGATTGAATAGACAAAATTGATACAATTACTATGAAAATAATTATGAGTTCTTTTTTTTTTTTTCTTTTACATTATATTTAAGTTTGATTATTTAATGAAAATTAAATTTAAACGACAGAATTTTTATTCGTCAAATCAAAATTATCTTTACGATTAAATATCATACTTTAAAAACAGTCTAGGTAATAAATAATAATTATAGATTTAAACGAACAAAAAAAAAAATTACGAAATAAGAAAAACAAGCGAATCAAAAATTATTACTCATTCTTCAAAACTATTCTTTCATTTCTTTTTTACGATTGCAGTAAGTTCAATGATGCAATTAAAATGATAGATCCAAAATCAAAAAATAGAAAGGAAAATATAATCAAAAATAGAGAAAAATATTTTTGTTCATATTTTGCAAAAATTACATTGAAAAAAATGTACATATTTGGATCTTGGAATTATTAAAAGATTAGAAACTTATTGGAGCAATTCTTTTTTAAAGTTTCAATACATTATGAATTTAATCGATATTTCAAAAAAGAAAAAAAAGATATTTTCAAAAGTAAATACATGAAAAATTATAATATCAAGATAAGACTAAAAAATAATTTTAGATTTTTATAAAAAAAAAAAAAAAAAAAAAAAAAAGAAAATTAGATAATAATGTTTCATTTGTTTGTTTTGTTTTTTCAATGATTTTACAATAATATCTATTTGCACGATTATAAACATAACATTTAAATATTATATTAATGCGCTGGATTCATAAAAACAAATTCTTAATTAAATTCTTGATAAACATATTCTTGAATAAATTGACAAATTCTTAATAAATTATAATTTAATGAAGGAAAAAATATATTAGTAATAAATTACCTAATTTTTTAATTGAAAACAAAGAAAAAATATTGTGTATGAGTTTTGTTTATTATTATTAATTTTATCAATTAAAATATTTGAAAATCAATTTATATCTACGATATAATATGAGATCGAGTTACATTGTTGTATGATTTTTAAATTATTATTTTATCATCTATTTGATCGTATTATTATTCAAAAACAATATTGTTTTTCAATATTTTAATATTTATACTATACTTTTTTTAATGTCCACTACTTTTGTATACTATCATATACATTTAATATTAATTTGTTAGATACAATTATTATGAATTTTCATTATTCAAGAAATAATAGAGGCTTAATTTCATAATAATTACTACATTATTTTGACTATTTATTATTTGTTTTCGTAATTATTATCTTCTAATTAATTCTTATCCATAACCATCTTAGAACGTCATATCTGAAATTAGAAATGATCAATTCGCATTTTCTAGAACTATATTTCATTTATTAAATTGTAATATAAATTTATTTCTAATTTTTGCAAAATTTATCATAGAAATATATTATTGATGAAGATTAAATGTTTATAAAAAAAATTATAGATATTATAAAAATATTATATTTATTATAAATTATATATATATATATGTATATATATATTTATATATATATATATATATATATATTTTAATTATATATATATTTTTTATATATATATATATTATTTTATATATATATATTTTTTATATATATTATATATATATTTATTATATATATATTTATATATATATATATTTTAATTATATATATATATATATATATATATATATATATATATATACACGACTATAACGATTGAAAGATTTTGAACGATTTATAAGAAAAATTATTATCTTATATTTATCTCAAGTATCGAGATAATAGAAGTGATTCTTTTTTTTTGTAATGTCTTTTGTTCTGATTCGTTGTCGACTCGTAACTCTTAGAAATTCGTTTGATAGGATTTTTATAACTTTATCCATCGCTTGTAATACATTTCTTATACTGATGTAATTATATCGTTGCAGTTCATGATTTTTATAAATGTGTGAACAATTGTGTATACGTTTTTATATTACGATATTTTATGCGGTCTTTTTTTTATATAATATAATATATGATAATGTGATACTACATATTTTATTAATGCTTTATACTTTTAATAAATAATTGAATATATTAATTTTTATATTTAAAATACAATATTGGAATCGATAAGAGAAGTAAATGTTTAGTGATAAAACAATAAATAATAATGGAAAGAGTTCTATCTGCGTGGATATGTGTAAGATAATAATTTCTATTAATTTATTGCTAATTATTAAATAAATCTTTATTTTTTTATTTTTCATTTTTCATGAAACATTGTCGTTGCTCTTCTTGATCTAAGTAAATACATATTTATTTAAAGATGATTGCTGCTGTGATTATGACAAGGCCTATGATAGAAAATGAAACATTTATAGTGATAAACTTTTACCATAAGGGCTATGTAAGTAAATTATTTTTATTTTATCACATGTAATTTTTTTATGCAAGTAAATTTTTGCAGTTTTTGATTTATGATTTTATAATATTAGCTATTTTATAAAATACAAGAATTATTATATTTATATTATTAAATTAAAGAAAAAATTACAAATACAAACTATTTAGTATTATTGAATTTTCAACTAGATAATTAACATTTCTAATAAAAAAAAATTATATATTATATTTTTATATTCATTTAAAACAAAGAATATGTTTCACGTAGCAAGTGTACTTTGTGTATGTAACTATATATCACAACAGATTAATAGTGTTTTTTTCTTTCTATTTTTATTTCTATAGTTTGAATAAATCTTATCCAGTCCCAAGAAAAAGTTGTGTCAAGTTTGCATCAGGATTGTGGCAAAGTGTACTGTAAATAATTTTGGAATAACTTTGATCAATGCCTGATGTATATTTGATACTACACTAACATCTGTTTATAAAACTTGCTTATGTGTAACTATAAGGAATTCAAAAGATTGGAAATCAAACACTGGAGGTCAATTTAAAAATAAAGAAGGTAAAAAGTGTAAACTTTAATTCTTAACGTTTCAATACTTTTGTATATCCTTATCAAATATTAGAATATTTAATATCTATAATAATTATTATGATATCTATTTTTCAATATTTCAAAGTGTATATATATATATATATAATATATAATATAAAGTATATATATAAAGTCTGTGTGTGTGTCTGTATATATATATTGGTTACAATCAATATTATTTATTTTTCATATTCCTTTTTTGGAAGAATTGCAATAATTAATTTATGATATAATTAAATTGAAATTTATATTAATTACATTTGAAAATATAAATAATATATTGTTTCAGACGATCAATGGTTAAGCTTGTTTAATATGTAAAACTAAAATATTATAAAATATTATATCTATGTGATAATTTTTCAAACTATTAAGTATCAATGTTAGAAGAACTATTACCATCGGACAACATATTGATAATTCTTTGTAATTTTTTAAACTTTTACAATTAGTAAAATGTTTTAGCAATTTTCTAACTTTTATGAAGATTCCATACGTCAAGTTCAATATAATTGCATAGATTTAAAACGAATAAGTACAAAAAATAACTTAACTCTTTATAGCATTATATAACTTTTAAGTTATACACCTATTTATATATATATATTATATTATATATATTATATATTATGTATATTATATATATTATATATTATATATATATTTTTTTTTAGTTTTATTTCATTTTATCGGCACAAATTTTTAATTATTCTTTCATATCCGAAGTATCCATTGTTTTCTAAGTTTTATCCATGCTTAATTTAATATATTAGTGTAAGTAATATTATAATATTATATAATTTTGTTGTACGAAATTGTTCTTTGAAATTGGATTATAAAGGATTAATGAACAATTGTTATATATACTGATTATATATACAATGTTATTACTTTTATAATTTATACGAATTATTGAATATATATATTGTATTTCATCTAAATATTTTATGAATATAAAATAGAGTTCACTGAAAAGATCTTATAAGAAAAATGCAATGACATCAGAATTTCAGATTTTATAATTATAACAGGAATATAATATAAAATAAAAAAAGAAATAAAAGAAATAAAATAATGAAAAAATAAACAAAATGTTTAATTAAGACATTAAAATTTATAAAAAAAAAAAAATTAATTATTCCAATCAATAATAGTTAAATATTCAAAGATATATCAATTTAAAAGTTATTATATAATAAAGATGATTTTATTTAATCATAATAGATTTTTATTTCTAGCAATGAAAACATAAAATAAAATAATAGAAATAGGTAATTATGATTAAAATAGAAAAATTTAAGAAAAGAGAAAACAAACAATGTATAAATTATTAAGAAAGAAGTACAAAGCTAATGAATAAGTACATACACATTATTGTTATTTAGGTAAAAAATGGATCTATTATAATTATCAAATGAAATGAAATTGACCATTTCAAGTATTATTATACTGTAGAAAACTATTCTCTACATAGCTTATGTTATAATTAATATAAACCTGCTAATAAAAAGAATTTATTATTTTGTAATTTATTATTATTTCTTATTCTCGCATAATTGCATTATAATGTACTTATTTTTTCTTTTTTTATTACAGAACACTGGAATAAAATATTTTATATTAAAGATCTTATGTAAACAAAATAATACCTGTGAATACATAGGATACAATCAGTATAGATTTTTATTATAATTTATGTACTTCTTGCTTCATTTTTTATCATTCACAAATCATTGAAAAATTAAATTTTCTATACTTTTTGAAATATTTGTATTTAGATAAAGTAAAAAAGAAGTTTTGTGTATTCACTATAGGTCAGAGATAGTTTAGGTTATCTCTTAATTCACTATAATGTTTTCGTTTTCACTTGAAAATCACAGTTATTCGTCTTGTTATTTCTTTTTTCTTATTAATTAATAAACAAAGCACAGCAATAAATATCTAATTATTTCTATATTTTTAATGATTACATTTTAACGAAGAAAAAATTCAGCGAAAAACTAAAAAAAAAACAGTGGCGCTAGTGACGCTGAAATAATAAAGTGTTCCTATTGGTGCGTCAAATTAACCAATCTACTGTCGTGTCGACTTATCCATTGGAGAACGAAAATAATTGAAAATAAAACCATAACCTTACATATTTTAACGACTGAATTGTTAAAGAAATATTACAGATATAATAAATCTTTTGTAAAAGTAAATTTAATTTTTCAAGAAACATATATAACATTTTATTTTCTTTTTTATTATAGTTAATTCAATTTAGTTGGACTTATAATATAATTTTTTTTATTACTGATACTAGTCGATCCTTCCTTTAACCAATAATACGTCTCGTTAAAATACTATCGTATTTGTATTTTTTTTTTGAATAGAATTTCGTCGAAATTCATATCGGGCAGTTTATAATGATTTGTTGAATTATAATTAGATTTTTTTTTGTTTTTTTTTATTAAAAATACATGTAATTGTAAGACTGAATATTTTGTTCATCTTATATATTAACTGTTAACAATGCCACGTGTAAGTCTATTTGTTATTTTATAATAGATTTATAATTATACCGACTATGATAGGTTATGTTATATTTTTATTATTAATGTCTGATTTTAAATACTATTAATTTGTTTTCACTTTTTTAGGATATACGATCTTATTTTACTTGCACTACTAAAAAATCTACAAATCAATCTACGGATAAATCTACGGATAAATCTACGGTTAAATCTACGGTTAAATCTACTGTCAAAAAGAAAAAAAGAGCAATAATCTCATCTGACGAAGAGGACACAAAATCATGTGCTGTGGTAAAACGTACCAAGGTTGTAATTTTTTTTTCATTCTTTGAGCATTATATTCCATTATGGTAGCTCTCCGTTAGATATTCTTATAAAATAATATACCAAAATAGTGGCTTTTCGGTAAATAATTTTTTAAAACAAAATAACAATTACTATAATAATTTTCTTCTTTATTTTGCAGTTCTTTATTTGAAAATCATATAGATTTATGTTGCAGATGAAGAATGAGAATGTCTTTGATTTATATTTATTTCTTCAAAAGATACTTTGATAACTATTAAATGACATTGAAAAGAATTTATATCTTTATTATTCTATGATAGTATATTTTCTTGTCTTGATATACTAATATCATTAATATATATTCTGTGACAGAGCTGTTTATTCAGCTGTTTATACAACTCTACGGTTAACTCTGTCATAAAGAAAAGATCAATATTTGAATGACAATCATTGGGAACTTATATGAGATGATTATTTCATTAATAGTTGATTTATTCTGTTGCTTATTTTATTAATTGGATTAATTAAATTATTTTTTTTTTTCAGTTGACAAAGAAAATTAACAAGCATCATCTTTTATCTGATTCTGATGATGAAGTTCAAATAGTGTCAAATACTAAAAATGAAAAGGCTGAAGTCCAATTGATTAATGATACACAAAATGTATCTCATATTAAAAATAAACCGGTAAGCACAATTTCGCCAGCAGAAATGTTTAGTAAAACATCAGTGACACGAGAAACAATGCCAAGAGTGAAAAAGAAGCCGAAGACAAAGGTAAATTTTGTATTACATTACAAAAGCATGTAAAATGATGACGTTGTAAACATAATTGATTTATAGGAAGCTAAAACTCATTTAGATGACGAGTTTGAGTTTACATTGAGCAAGTTAGATACAGCAATAATTGAAAAAGAATATTTACAAGGTGTCAAAGAAAATGGTAAGAAATGTATATACATACACATATTTTGTACACTTTTAATAATTTTATAAAATAAATTCTACATTTATCTATATTTTATATTAGAATGTGAAAACAAAGAAGACGATAAGAAAGATGAAAAAGATAATAAGATAGATGATCAGATAAAATGTGAAAAAAGTATTACTTCAAATAAAGAAAAGAAGCATAATATGTCTGTTGATGATGAAATATGTTATAAAAAAGAAGATATAAAACAAAAAGATAAATCTTCTAGTAATAAAGAATTTTCTTTAACCAATGTAGAACATAATATTGATAAGAGAATAAAAAATTCTTCTAAAAAATCATTGAAACGTACTAAACATACTTCTGCGATAGAAATTGAACCTAAAAGATTGAAAAAAGAGAATGCTAATAGTTCAATGTCAGACGAATATGAAGAAAGAATTCAAATGAAAAAACAGAATTCAATATTATATCAGAAATATCTTCAAAGAGGTGGTGCAAGAAATCCTGGTTCTAAGGAAGTTCCACAGGTAAATAATATAACTTTTTAATTATTAAATTTGGATATAGTTAATAATAATATCGTTGAAATAAATAAAAGTATTACTATTATATACATCTATACAAATACCCTTTATATAGTCTTCTGAGATAATAAATAATATAATAATATTAATTGAAGGGCGCAGAATATTGCTTAGCAGGTCTAAGTTTTGTAATAACAGGTGTTTTGGATTCGTTAGAAGATAATGAAGCTAAAGAATTAATTACAAAATATGGTGGTCGTATTTTGCATCAAGTATCAAAAAATACAGATTATCTGATAGTAGGAGAAGAATATGGACCTGCAAAGATGGCAAAGGTATTCAAATATGTTTATTTTAAAAAATATTAATTTTTTCTACTATAATTAAAAATCCATTCACATTTTTAAGGCCAATGAGTTAAAGATAAAGAAAATATCTGAAGATGACTTGTTGGAATTTATAAGAACAAGACCTAAAGGAAAAGCTGAAGATGTAAAGCAATCAAAGCGTGCAAAATCAAAAGAAAAACCAATGACAAAGGTTGAATCTTCTGTAATATCAAAACCACAGAAAAATGTGAAAGAAACAATGGAACCTATAAAGGGAACAGTGGAACTTGTGAAAAAAACAAAGGAATTTATAAAAAGTACAGTGGAGCTGGTGAAAGAAACAACGATACCTGTGAAGGAAACAGCGAAAACTGTGAAAGAAACAACAAAATCTGTAGAGGAAACAGCAGAATCTGTGAAAGAAACAGAAAAACATATAAAACATACACAGTCTTCAATAACGAAATTAGATACTAAAGTAGCAAATGTAAGTAACAATACAATGTTTATATTATTTATTTATTTTAATATAGATATTTTAATATTATTAATTCTTATGGATTATACAGAATGCTATAATAACGGAAAATTGTGAAATATTAGTTGAAAAATACAGACCGAAAACTATGAAACAAATATTAGGACAACAAGGGGATAAAAGTTCTGCGAAGAAGTTATATACTTGGTTATTAAATTGGCATAAAAATCAAAATGGAACTAAAAAACATACCAAACCTAGTAAGATTATTCTTTATTATTTAAATGTATACAAATATTTATACATTTGTATATAATTGTAATATCTAACTGTATTTTCTTTTGAGGTCCCTGGGCAAAAAATGATGATGGAGCATTTTTCAAAGCTGCTTTATTATCTGGACCACCTGGTATTGGTAAAACTACTACTGCTCAGGTTGTATCTAATGAATTAGGTTTCGATCTGTTAGAATTTAATGCTTCCGATACAAGAAGCAAGAAACTTTTAAAAGAAGAAGTTTCTGAAATTCTATCGAATACAACAATAAAGAATTACTTTAGTAGTAAGTATTTTTTCTTTACATTGTTCTTTTTGTTCTTAATACAAATTTTTAATTTTTAATTAAAGTTTATATTTGTATGTAATATCATTTAGATCAAAAAGGAGAAGGAAAAGCTAAACATGTATTATTAATGGATGAAGTTGATGGTATGGCTGGTAATGAAGATCGTGGAGGTTTGCAGGAATTAGTCAGCTTAATCAAATCTACAGATGTACCAATAATTTGTATTTGCAATGACCGGAATAATCCAAAAATGAGAACCCTCTCCAATTATACATTTGATCTCAGATTTCAAAAACCAAGATTAGAGCAAATCAGGGTATGAAGTAGAGATATATGTAATATAATTATACTTTATTATATTTAAATGAAAAATTTTTTTTTAGGCAGCCATGAAGTCAATATGTTATAAAGAAAATATACAAATATCAACAGAACAACTTGATCGTTTAATTGAATCAACCAATCAAGATATTCGTCAAGTGATTAATCATTTATCATTATTAAATGAAAAATCTGATAATGTAACAAAGACAGAGAATAAACCAAATAAAGATTTAAAATTGGGTCCTTGGGACGTAGTGAAAAAGGTTTTAAGTTTTGAGGAACACAAAAATATGAGTATTAATGAAAAAAGTGATCTTTTCTTTCATGATTATAATATAGCATCATTGTTTGTGCAAGAAAATTATCTTTCAGTTATACCTGCAGCACCAAAGTTTGTATACAAAATATATTATCTTTGATTAATTTCTATTTTACATATATGTATATATATATATATATATATATATATATATATATATATATATATGTATGTATGTATGTATGTATATATGTATGTATGTATGCACATTTTTAGAACTGAATTATTAGAAAGAGTCGCACAAGCTGCAGAGAGTATAGCATTAGGAGATGATATAGAAAAAGAAATTCGAAGTAACAATGCCTGGTCTCTTCTGCCAATTCAAGCTTGTTTTTCTTCAGTTATTCCTGGTAATATGATGTCCGGAGATATAAAAAATCAAATTAATTTTCCATCCTGGCTTGGGTGTAACTCAAAAAAGAATAAATTTGATAGGTTAGTTTTATCATTTATTTTATTCAATTTTAATAGATATATTCATTGTAATATATAAATTTATTATTTTAGATTATTGCAAGAGATTACTGTACACACACGTTTAACTACTGGTGCGAATAAAGCAGCTATTAATTTAGATTATTTAAATCATATAAGAGATGCAATTATTAAACCTTTGGTTAACAATGGTACAGAAGGAGTAGATGGAGCGGTTAATATTATGAACCATTATCATTTATTAAGGTATTTATTATTTTTCA